TATAACACAAATATAATAACACAAAAAGTATATATACAATATGATTTCTCTTATATGAAGTACTTATAATAGTCAAATTCATGGAGACAGAAAAAACAATAGTGAGTATCAGAACTGGGGGTAAATGGATGGGTACTGTTTAAATGTATTAAATATGTATTGTTTAATGGGTACAGAATTTGGGGTTTTTCTTTTGGTTTTAGTTTTGGTTTTTTTAAGTTAGAGTCTTGCTATATAGTTCAGCTGGCCTTGAACTCACTATGTAGCCCAGGCTGTCCTCAAACTCACAGAGATCCTCCTGCCTCAGCCTCTCAAATGCTGGGATGACAGGCATGCATCACCAAACCTAGCTTAATGTGTGCAGAGTTTTAAGCTGCAATGATGAAAAGGTTCTGGATATATATAATGCTGATGGTTACAGACACTGTGAATGTATTTAATGCAATAACTGTAACATATATAAACTCTGGATGTATAGGCAACATACAACAGGCTAAGATTTTCAAAGCAAGAAATCAAGGGAAAGAATATTTCAAGATTGGTAATTAACAAACTGATATAAAAGAGCTTATGTAAATTGATAAGAAAAATGTTAAAAAATACCAAAGCTCTGAGTAGACAAATTAACAACATAGTAACAGAAAATTTATAGAAGGAAAAAGGGCTAATAAATGTGAAGTAATCCTCCTCCACGCTGATATCAAAGAAATGCACATTGAAATACTTTTTACTAATGAAGCTGGCCGAGACTTTCAAATAACTACTCAATGCTCATAATATTGTTTTTAGTGGGAATACAGTTTGGAACAAGTCATTAGGAAAGCAGTATGTTACTATCTACCAAAAACTTTTGAAGTGCCCTTTGAACCTTAATTCTACTTTTAAGAATCTCTCATAGCCTGAGATACCACCTGTCAAACCAACATCACATAATATTTATTGTAAAACTAATATTGCCAAGAAATTTTTCAATAAACTTACATTTTTAGAAAAAAGGAAATGTCCAAAGAACTTATCTGACTTAATACCACACATTAAATTGTGTATTTTTAAAGAATTTTTAATGATCAAAAAAATGCTTCAACTACCAACACCTGTCATGTAAAGGTACAAGATCCCAATGATGAAGGTAACTGTATACCTAAAATGTACCAATAAACTCAATGAGAGAAAAAAAAAATGCCTCAACTCACACAATATGGAGCTAAGTGAAAAAGAAGACAAAACTGCAGCAGAAAGAGGGAAAAAGCACCAAAACATTGCCCTGGTTTCTCTCTGAGTGGGAAGTGATTTTTGTTTTCATCTTTATGCTTTTTGCATTTTCCAAGTTTTCTACAACAAACATGAATTCCTTTTATAATTTTATAATCTAGTAATTCCACCTATAGAAGTACATCCTAAAGAAATAATCCCAAATATAGAAAAAGTTTTGGGAAGAGCTTAGGTGATGTTTATAATAGCAAAATATCAGAAAATTTGGGAAAGATAAAAATAAATCACAACGTGCACTTTTGTAGGTTATTTTTGAGCAGGGGTTACTGGGGTGGAACTCCAGACCTTGTGCTTTACAGGCGGCGGCACCACTGAGCTAAATCCTTGGCCATTGTGGGTTTTTTGGTTGGTTGATTGGTTGGTTGGTTGGTTGGTTTGTTTGTACTAGGGATCTAACTCAGGACCTTGTACTTGCCTGGCAGGCACTGCACCACTGAGCTACATCCCTGGGCCCAGCATATGTGCTTTTTAAATTTTCAGACAGCCATTTAACTCAAGTTCAGGAAGAGTTTATGATAACATGGTAAATAGAGAATTAAATGAAAATATCAATATAAAAATTATATACATTAGATATTAGATAGAAAATACTCAAAAGTGGGGCCAGGGATTTAGCTCAGTGGTTCTGCTGCCTGCCCCACCAAGCACAAGATTCCAAGTTCAATCCCCTGTACCAAAAAAAAAAAAAAAAAAAAAAAAAAAAAAAAAAAAAAAAAACAATACTCGAAAAAAAATGGAGAAGCATTTGTTACATGTACCATATCCCCACAAGGAATGTAATGCAAAATGTCTAATAAAAATTAAAACAGAAAAAAGAGTAAGATTTATATGAAACACACCAGAAGATTAGTGCATGGCATATTTGAGTGGTAAAACTTGACTTTAGTTTCCTTTTTTCTGTTTATTACATTTTCTGCAATGACTGTATGACTTTCAGAAAATGTTTCCCAAATATCTAACAGGTGAGTTAAACTGTGATTAGTGAGAATTGTCAGTGGTTATTATTTTCTTTCTTATTCTCCATTTTGAAATCTCCTACACAGCATTTATTATTTTCTATCATTTAAAGAAGTTATCAATTTTTATCACCTAAAATTAAGAGTTTATTTTTATGAATGAGCCACGAGTAAAGGTCATTTATTTTCCTACTGCAAGGACTGCTCTGTGTGGAGAGCCGCGGCCCCAGGCTCTGAGCTGTCTTTCAGCCCACAGGCCGGCTGCCAAAGGCCTTTGCTGGGGAGAATTGCCCGGGACCTCAGCTCTGCAAGCCAAGCCAGCTTCCCAACTGTTCTTCCCTTGTGCATTTGTAGACTTCTATATGGACTCAGACATGACTCCTGCCTGATAAAAGCCATGGGATCACCGGGGATTTAGCTCAGCGGTTCCGGCACTGGCCTTGCAAGCAAGCGCAAGGACCCAAGTTCGATCCCCAGTACAAAAAAAAAAAAGCCATGGGGTCATCCTATCCATCTTCACCCTCAAAGGAGAAAATGGGAGCTCCTGGTCCTCCTGGCTCATGGGCAGTTGTGGATTGGCTTTCCCCCCTTGGGAGGAGGGCGCCCTACACCTAGGCCAGTGGGGCAGGGCTAGCCTGTCACACTGCACCCAGCTTTCTGTCATCTGGCTGTCACACACTACGTGTACTCACAGTACAAGGAGCCACAGTGAGATCTTTGTCACAGTGGGCCCTACAGAACAAATTGGGATCCAAAAATTAGTTTCATGCAGTTGCAGCACTAATGCAGCACTGCATTAGTTTCCTAGGACTGCCGTAATAAACTGTCAAAACCCATATGGTTTAAAATAACAAGTTTATTCTCTCTCAGCTCTAGAGGTTAGAAATACAAAAGAAAGGTGTTAGAAGGGCCATGGTCTTTCTGGGGGCTCTCAGGGAAGATCCCCCGAAGCCTGCCTCCCTTCTGATGTCTGTGGTGTCCTGGGCTGGCAGCTGCTTCGCTCCAGTGTCTGCCTCTGACTCACGTGTCCTCCCTGTGTGTGTCATTGCGTCCCTCTGTGGCCTCCTTGTAAGGACGCTAGTCATTGAGTTTAGGATCTCCCCTAATCTAGCATGACCTCACTGTAAGTCCACGACATCTGCAAAGACCGTATTTCCTTTTTTAAAAAAATGTTATTAGTACATGTGTGCTGTACATAATGATCCCGTTCATCACAGGGAGTTGGTACATGGACGTAACACATCTTCATTCTTTTTACGTCCCCTTCATATTTCCAAATAAGGACACATTTGCAAGCACCAGGAGTTGAGACTTCAAACCTTTCTTGTAGGGAAGATACAGTTTAACCAACAACAAGCACCGTGCTGATAATAATGTAGAAACAAACAATAGTTGGTTTAGACTTGAAGTTATGGTACAGGAATTTTTACTTTACCCCTTCTGGGATGATACAGATAACAGCGAGGTGCTCGTGAAAGTTGAATTTATTGTCTCAGGGCATGGCGTAAGCTCAGTGTGACCAGCAGTGCCTCACTTCATCGACTGTCAGCAGCCCACCTCCTCCAGGAGAGGGAGAGGCCTAAGTGTCTGACCTCTCTCGGGGGTGAGCCTTAGTTCGCATCTTGGGAGGCCTGACTCGCCTGACCTGCTTGATACCTTTTCAGTTCCAGGAGATGCCTACACCGATTACGTGGCCACCAGGTGGTACCGAGCTCCTGAGCTCCTCGTGGGAGACACACAGTATGGTTCTTCAGTCGACATCTGGGCTGCTGGCTGTGTTTTTGCTGAACTCCTGACAGGCCAGCCACTCTGGCCTGGAAAATCAGATGTGGACCAGCTTTACCTGATAATCAGAACACTGGGTATGAATTGTACTGTATGGCTCACAGAGTTGCTGATGTGTTACAGCAGTAATGTATTATTGTGACAAAAGCAAGAGCTTTATTGCTTCTCCAAAGTTCTACTCAGGATGGTGGCTCTGGGTTCTGGGTTCTGTAGGTTGTAGCGAAAACCCAATCCTTTCTCAATATGTAGAGCTGTAATTCTTATTAGCAAGTTTCCAGATGCCATTCCAAGAAAAGTCAGTTAGCCATGGGATAAACTATATATTTACCTTCACAGTAGGATAAAATAGAGATATGAGTGAGCTGCTTAGAGCTGATATCTGAGATACTTGATCACATGCAGTTTCTGTCCACTATAAGAGAGGTTCCCCCACTTACCCTAGAGCAGGGATCAGCAAACATTTGCTATCAAAGTCTAGATGATAAGTACTTTGGGTTTTGTAGGCCATACAGTCTCTATTGCAACTCCTTAACTCTGCTCTTACAGTTTGAAAACAGCCACATGCAATATGCCATTGATTTCTATAGTTTTTTTCATATTTGCACAAAATATTATTTTTATTTCTTTTCATCCACTTGAAAAAGTAAAAGCCATTCCCGGGTCTCAGGCTGCCCAAAAATAGGCACTGGACCAGATTTGACCTGAGGGCCTTACTTTGCAAACCCCTGCCCTACAATTTAAATCTGGGTTTTTTCCTCATCAAATTGGCCTCTAGAGTTTAAAATAATATTAACAGGGCCAGGGATGTAGCTCAGTGGTTCCACCGCCTGCCTCAAAAGTGCAAGGTCCCGAGTTCAATCCCCAGTACCAATAATAATAATAATAACAAACATCGTTTGAAGGGTGCTGAAGAATTTACAGATTTCTTCCACACACATGATCTTTTTCAGTCTTAAGAAAAACTTGGTGAGGAAGTTGTATCCTTTTTAATAGTGCCTATTTTGTAAATGAGGAAACCGAGGCTCGGGAAGCTTCCAATAATTGGCCTAAAGTTACACAAACAGTTAAGTGCCGACCGAGTAGGAATGGGTCTTGAGGGGTTTCTCTGATGAGCTTTCATCCTGTCGGCGTCCTGAGGAGTTGCTGATCGCCTCCACCTGCTCAGAAGAGCCCATAACCACAGGTTAGCTGCGGCTTCCCTCCAGCAGCCCAGTGTGAAGGAAGTGATGCTTCCATGCAAAGGCTGGATACGGATTGATTCTTCTGGACAGTTCCCCATTGTTTCCCCTAGAAAATTCTGCATCATGAAAACATGGGGTAGAGTATCACTACGGGCCTTGCCCTAAGTGTGTATTTTTTGTTTATTTCCTAAATACATTAGACAATACACAGACCTGAGTTTGGATCCTGTGTCTATCATTTAATTACCATGTGGCCTTAGATAAGCTTCTAGACCTCTCTGAGCCACATTTCCTTCACTGATAGAGTGAATACGACAGAGCAGTATGATGTGAGATTAAATGAGATAATATGTGTAAGGCCTTCGGCACCATTTTCTCACCTTGTATTTTTTTTTTTTTTTTTTTTTTTTTTTTTTTTATTTTTTGGTACTAAGGATCAAACTTGGGGTGGGATCTTGCCCTTGTGAGGTAGGCAGAGGAACCACTGAGCTAAATCCCCAGCCCTCACTTTGTCTTTTGATGGAAGCTGAATGGCTGACCAAAACATGTGCAGCGAAGAGCATTGTATATGGGAACTTGGCCTGACCTGAGCACATGTACTTTTGTAGGTGCCCCATCCCTCCCGCCAGCAAGGCACACTTCCTTCATGTCTAGGCCTTGGAAGCTAACCATGTGGACATTTTCTAACTTTCTGCCAAATTTATCGTGAACTGTGTGGTTTGTATTTTACAGGAAAACTAATCCCAAGACACCAGTCTATCTTTAAAAGTAACCAGTTTTTCCATGGCATCAGTATACCTGAACCTGAAGACATGGTAAACTCCTCTGTTTGGGGCACTTTATTGTTTATGTTGTTGCTTTCTTTAAAGAAGTAGTAGTTTCTTTTTAATGTTTGTGCTTTTGACTTATGTTTTCCATATGAAATCATAACAAAGATCAAAGAAACCATATTAAAATGCATAAGACAAGCGCCATGGGACGCTCCTATCGTGCCAGCTACTCAGCAGACTGAGGAGAGATGTTCACTCAAACCAGGGAGTTTGAGACAACCTAGGAAACGGGAAGAAAATTCACAAAGCCAGAAACTGCTTTGAAAGTTTACCTGTCCCATCTATTCAAAGATTAGTGTTAAAATTAAATTGAAAGTACCAAGCCAGATGTGGTGGTGCACGCCTGTAATCCCAGCACTCGGGAGGCTGAAGCAGGAGAATCGCCATGAGCTCAAGGCCAGCCCGGGCTACATAGTGAGTTCAAGGCCAGCCTGAACTACATAGCAAGACCCTGTCTCAGGAAAAAAAAAAAAAATTTTTTTTCAACTGAAAGTATATTTTGTACCTTATATATAGTATCTTCCATAATACCCTGATCCTTTTGGTCAAAGCACTAAGTTTAACTTTCCCTGAAATGATGATTTCTCATACTAACAGTGGTCTACTTTATTTTGAAGATAAGAATTATTTTATCAGCTTATGAAACAAAGCTTAAATCAATTTTTAAAAAACTTTTTTTTATAACTTACATTTCTGCCATGGAAGGTCATTCTAAAAAAAAGATTCTTGTTGTACTCATTAAACCCAAACCAGTGATCATCTCTGTGTTCCTGCATGGTCTTTCCCTTTAACTGGCGTGTAGTCTATCGAGGGCCGCCTGGCTCTTACCTTCTGCAGATGTCTCCTGTCAGTGTTACCTGAGTTCAGGCTCACCTTCCAAACTTCACTTGGCCTGGAACCTGCCCAGGGAAGGAAAGGACCTGCCAAAGGAGGCTGGCAGAGCAGCACAGGGCTAGGAAATGGTCTGCATGTGACAGCGTAGAGTTCAAATGGCCTCACTATCGCCAGCCGGACACTGCCTATTTTGACCTGATTATTTAATGTAATACCTTAAGTACTGGGCTTTTTATTGTATTTCTTTCTTTCTTTTTTTTTTTTTTTTTTTTTCTTGGTACCAGGGATCAAACTTGAGACCTTGTGCTTGTGAGGCAGGCAGCGGCACCACTGAGCTAAATCCCTGGCCCTATTTTATTTCTTAATATCTTTAATAAATGTAAGGTTAAAGGTTGAGTTATAAAGTTGAAAGTTTATGAAGGAATATTTATTTATGTAACATACACTAAAAGAACAGGGTGGTTTTTAAAATTTAGTTTTATTAGTACACAGTTGTGGTATATAGTGTTCCCATTCTTTGTGTGACTTCACAGACCTATTTAGCTAATCATTCTAAATTAATCTAGCTTGACTCAAATTAGAAAGTAACTACAAAATTCTATACACAGGCTAGAGTTAATGAATACTAAATATTTGTTAAGTCTTAAAATTTTTAGATGTAATAAATGGTATCTTGATGATTTATTTAAAAGACACCTTTTTTACTTTTGGTGGCACTGAGGATTGAACCCAGGTCCTCCACACTGAGTTATATCCACAGCTCTTTTTATTTTATTTGTTTATGTATTGGTACCAGGGATCGAACTCGGGCCCTTGCGCTTGAGAGGCAGGCGGCAGAACCACTAAATCCCTGGCCCCTCTTTTTATTTCTTAAGACAGGGTCTTATTGTGTGACTAAATTGCCCAGCCTGGGCTTGAATTTGTGATCTTCTTGTCTCTACGTCAGAGATTACTGGGATTATAGGCATGTACCACAATGCTCACTTTAAAAGATGCCTGTGAGTTTTAAATATTTGTATTAAAATATTTACCAAAATATTAAAATGGTACAATGCCTGAAATTTGCTCCTAAATAATCCAGGTGGTAAATAGGTGTTAAGCACTATGTTTATACACAAAAGAACGTTGTTTATGATTTGATAATTGTTGAAACCAGGTGACTAGTACATGTGGTCCCTATTATTCTACTTTTCTACAGTGTTTAAAATTTTTCCAAGGTTAAAAAAAAAAAAAAAAAAAAAAAAAAAAACAAACACACATGACCTGCTGCTCGGCGATAAAAGTAGTAGTGTTACTATTGAAGCTTCCCCTCTCCTTCCCGCCCACTATTTCGAATTTTGTGTCTATTATGCTGTTGATTTCTATAGAGCTCTTATACATATAATTCAGAATATTTTCATGAATTCTCAAAGCATTCTCATAAATAGACCAGGCACAGATACTGTATACAGCATAGGATTTCAGATAAAGACATTTATATGAAATTTCCCCATCCTATTCCCTCTCACAATTACCAGCATTAACTGCGAGACTTCTTGAAATTAAGAAAATAACTGCAATTTCATGTCTTTCAGACATTTGCACTAGACCGTATATGACTGTGTAAAAGCATGATTTTTTTTGGGGTACCAGGGATTGAACCCAGGTCCTTGTGCTTGCGAGGCAGGCGGTAGAACTGCTGAGCTAAATCCCCGGCTAAAAACATGATTTTTAACAAACTTTAAAAAGAATTCTTTAACATACTGAGAAATATTTGTTAACGTGTTGCTGTCAGTATATACAAAATATATCACTTTGTTGTTATGTAACATTGAAGTTCTTTGTTTTCTAGGAAACTCTTGAAGAAAAGTTCTCAGATGCTGATCCTGAGGCTTTGAATTTCATGAAGGTACTTAAGGATTTATTATAACTGTTGTCACATGCAAATTGTAATAATTGAAACTGGTGATTCTGGGAGTGGTAGACAGTGAGGCAAACAACACCAAAATGGTCACTGAAAACGATAAGGACTTATAAAGTAATTACAGCTGAAGTAATATCTAGTTTAAGCGGTAGCTGTGTTCTAATATAGCTACCAGAATTGGTAGAAGAACAGACAAAATCAGAGGTTTGCAGGGCCAGGGATTTAGCTCAGTGGAGCCCCCCCCCCCACTGCCTCGCAAGCACGCAAGGTCCTGAGTTTGATCCACGGTACCAAAAAAAAAAAAGAAAAGATCAGAGATATGCAGACACCAAACATTTCCTATACACTGTGCTCAAAGCTAGAGTCCAACAAAGGATGTACAGTGAACCCTCCTGTTATGACTGGTCTGACAAACTAACAACTTGGGTTACAACCAGAATTTTAGTGGTTTTTGTTTTTTGTTTTCAGAATTTTAGTTTTAATTTACAAACAAAGTCTGGAGTTGCCACCCGAATGCTGGCCCCTTGTGCTTCCAGATGGTCTCAGATACAGATTTAACCCTTATTAGAGTTGGAAAAAACATCACAACATCCTTTCCCTTGTAGGTTTCATTGAGAAATCCTGGGCCAAAGTCTGTCTAAGGACACCGAGATCTGGCTGTATATAGGGGAAAGACTCTGAAGATTGTGTAGAGGGGCCTGAGCCTTCAATTGGCCAACTTGAGTTACAGCCAGCCCTTGCGAACAAACTGAGTTCATAAGTCAAGGGTCCACTGTATTTTAATAAAAAGCAGAAGAAACCTACCAGTTTATGTTTGACAAACAGGCCACACAAGTTGTGACCCCTCCACCCACTGTGGATACTGAAGCCCTCTGTGGGATGGGTATGAGGGTCCTAGCTAAGGTATCAGTCCATTCATTTCTGTACAGAGCTGTGATTTCCACATGTGCCCACTCATCAGAAGGACCTGGGAGCTTTTGAAACATACAGATTCCAGTGCCTACCCTTAGATTCATAGAGGAGTATCCATGGATAGGACCTTAGAGTTGGTATGTAGACATCCCCTTGGATGAGTATGAACTCAGTTTGAAACTCATCTAATGTAGGCGGTGGGGCTGCTTGGATGACCCAGAGGTCAACTTTGTAGACCAGCATTGGTACTAGGTGTGGGTCATTGCCAGATGAAACTAGGTTTGTAACTCAGCTCTTTGATTAGACCCATAAGTATTGGCCATTGATCGAAGAATTCTCTAAGTGATCAAGGTCTCTGACGTTCCGTGGCCATATCCTATCTCCTAGATGCCTGCCCATGTTAGATGAAAATAAAGTTCTCTTTAACAACAGTTGAGACATACTTAACCCCAAGCAAATACTGGCTACCATATCAGGTAGTTAGCACGTGGCGCCAGGCCGTAGCCTATGCGGGTGAGGTGTGGGCCTGGGACAGTGTTGAGGATGGCAGGCAGCAGCCAATCTATGGCAGGGCCTTCGTGTTCTGATCTCTGAGAAAAAGACGGTAGATACTTAGAAATGGTATTGGAGGGCTTTCCACCAAATTTAAAAAGGATCAACTGTTTCTCTTTTTTCAAGAAAAGGATCCTGTTTGGGACTTTGCAGTTCCAATTTTCAGGGCCTTTGCCAGATTGGAGAAAAAAACACATCTATCAAAGAGCACCTCTGAGAACTCATCAGCTTCTTAATTACAGAGAGCTATTAATGAGGCAGGCATGGGCTGAGAAGCACCCACCCCACCCCGTCAGTGTCAGCAGTCCCAAAATTAATCAGGAAGGAACTGTTCCAGCGCAGCTTCCAAAGAGCAGCTCAGCATTGACAGCCTCTTGTCTGAAATTGCTCTTTGAAATAAAAAAAAAAAAAAAAACTCCTAGGCATTTACTCATAGACTAGATTCCAGTAGATTAAAAGCCCATCTAAGAATGAATGAATTCGGGATCAATTTGAAAGTCAAACTGACGGGATTTAATTATGATTACTCCGAGGGGAGGTAAAGTGAAGAGAGCGCCCACCATGAAGTGCCAGATCGGTTCCCCGGGGGTTGGCGGGTCCATGCTTTCTCCGAAGACTGTTGGCAAGAACTTTTTCCTGCCTCCTCTAGCTTCTGGGAACCCCAAGCGTTCCTTGCCTTGTGACAGCATAACCCCACTCTCTTGTGCTTGCGTGGCGTTCTCTCTGTGGTTCTGGCTTTGCATCATCTGTCTGCCTTCTTCCTACGGAACGTCAGTCCTCACTGGGGCCTCACTGGGTCACAGGGTCCACCCTGCTCCACTATGACCTCCTCTCAACTCCTTACGTCGACAGAGATCTGCTTTTCAAGGCAGGTCGCATTCTGAAGTACTGGGAGTTACGAGTTCGATGGATATTTCAACCCATAGCAGTGCCCTCAAGATTTAAGAGAGGGTAAATAGGCATTTACATATGCATGTCGATTTCAGGGGACAGGTCCAGAATAAATTTATAGAAGTGGGAAATTCTGGTAAACCTTGATGATTGAAGCCAAAGAGAACAAAAGAAACCAGGGGCAGCTAGGATTGAGCCTGGAGGAATTTCATGCAACCATTGTGGAGAATATAAACTAGCAAAGGCTGGTTTGAAAGGCGTGGTCAGGAGACAGGAGGAAGAAAAGTGAGGTAACAGGTAAGCTCGAGAGAGTGTTTCAAGAAGGAAGACTCCATCAACAGTGTCTAATACTGCTCGGACCAGAACTCAACGTTCCTGTTGGGTTAAGGATAGAAGGGGGTGAAGGGAGGGCAGGGGTATGTGAAAAAATAAGAACCAAGACATATCATGTAAAGATACAAGGTCCCAATGGTAAATGTAACTGTGTTGTTTACTTTAAATGTACCAATAAACTTAACAGGGAAATAAAAGGAATATAGAAGTACAGGTCACAGGTATTGGTAACTATGGCCACTTAAGTGGAATGGTGAAGTCAGAAGCCAGGAAGTGATGGAGACCACCACAGTGTATATTCGTAGTAGTCTTTCTGAATTGGGTATAATAGTGCACACCTATAATCCCTGCATGTGGGAGGCTGAGGCGGGAGGATCTCCGTGAGTTCAGGGCCAGCCTGGGATATGTACTGAGTTTAAGGTCAGCCTGAACTACATAGTGAGACCCTGTCCCTGCAAAAAACAAACAAACAATAAAAAAAGTCTTTCTGTCCTGATGGTAACCCTGACAGCATTAGAAGAGCCTGCCTCCCCGTAGCAGCTGGAGTTAATACACGGCATGGATCTTTAATTAGGGGATGATCCGCTTGAAGCGGGCTATAGACACGAAGGGACAGGTGAGTCTGGTTATGCTAAGCAGGACTGTTTCTGGAAGAACAAGACTAATGAGATGCCACTCCAATGGCAGGTGATACTGCTTGGGCACAGACAGCACTCTCAGGGATCTCGGTGACCTGGGGTGAGCTGGGCTAGGGAGGAGCCGGCACCACAGGGCAGCCCAGTGCCCAGAATTTCGGGCAGCCTCAGGCAGTGCGGTTGTCTGCACACCTCAATCCCTCAGGATAAAGTCTGTGATACTAGAGAGCCGTGTTTCTTGTGGACACGGGCAGATTTGCCGCCACCTGTGCCTGGGTGTCATGACAACTCCTCCCGTTCTTTATGGATTGCCATCTGTCTCTGCCAGTGAGAAAAGCTTCATCCTCTGGTCGAACTATCTGGGAGAAACCTCTCTGCCCCTGCTGCACCAGCCCTCTGAGTCATCTGACAGCCCCAAGTGTAGAGGGTTGTGATGCCGCCTTTCTCCGGCAGCCTCCCGTTACTCTTCTACGCAGACACTTCCCCTTTCTCTCCATCTTAGGCTCTGTCTCACATCTGAGCTTCGCACTGCCTCGCCATCTCCTTAAACGGGCGTCCCCAGACTTGAGCGTAAGGCGTCAGAATCTCCCGAGGCTTGTTAAGCACAGGGTACTGGGCTCAGTCTCCCGTTCCTGAGTGGCCAGGCGTTGGGTAGGACCCCAGAATTTGCATTTCAAAACCAGCACACACAAAACCTTGGTCCAGGGACAGCACTCTGAAGACTCCCACCCACGCTTTGTGGTCACTGTGATGGAAGTCGTGATGAGAGCCCTCCGGGGACGCCGAGTGTCCTCACAGCCCACCCTCGAAGCCTGAAGCCGTAGAAGAGGCCAGTGACGACGAACTCGGAGTACTTGATAACGGACGCACTTGATTTTTTAAAAACATTTACTCGAGCCAGTTATTATTCACAGTAACAAAGCAAACGCTTCTCTTAACATGTTTTGCTTTTCCCTTCTTCCAAAGGGCTGTCTGAAGATGAACCCGGCTGACAGATTAACCTGCGCTCAACTCCTAGAGAGCCCCTACTTTGACTCCTTCCAAGAGGATCAAGCGAAGAGAAAAGCACGCAGTGAGGGAAAAAGCAGAAGGCATCGGCAGGTACTTCTGTTCCAAAGTGAGAGTGCCACAAATGTTTATCCACTTTTCCACCTTTCAGAGTGAGACTAGATAGACACCAACACATTTTTTCTGGTTTAGGTGCATTTATTTATCTTAATACATATTAGTGATTGATGTAATAAAACCTAGAACTATGAAAATCTTATTCTTTTTTTTTGAGGCAAGACCTTGCTATGTTGTCCAGGCTGGTTTCCAGCTCCTGTGTTCAATGACCCTCCTGCCTCAGCCTCCTGAGTAGCTAGGACTACAGGTGTGCATCACTATACCCAGTGTGCACTTGACTCAGATCAGGATGTACCTTTACAGAGTAAAAACAGGACTAAGTTGTACCACCATTACAGCAGATCTGGTTTCTTTCTGTAGCCTCTGTACGCACAGCAGAGGAGACTGGACTCACACACGCAGGCAGCTAGGTTTGTCTTTCGTAGGATTTGCCTCAAAACTAAGGGGAGGCTCTGCCAGTTACAAGGGACGACAGCAGATAGCTGGGAACCAGGTCTCGTCCTCAAATGTTGTGCAGCACAGTTGGCTGTTGTGACGGGCAGGCGTTCGCTCTACAGCCGTTGGGTGACTGCCGCTCGGTTTCGGAAAAAGGATGAAGACGTAAACTTTATGGAAGTGGGTTGTTTTCTCTTGTTTCTCCCTCGCCTTGTAAAATCGCAGCAGCAAAGAGAGTGTCTGCCTCATAGAAGGCAGTTAGTAAACACCATTCACGCGTGTAAATAGCTGAACATGGGCTGTTAGTAAACCAGGATGGTAACTTTCAGTGGCCGGAGGCTGACAGTCGCCACAGCTTGTGTTCCCTTACTCTTCCACCTTTGATCTAGTTTTTGGTCGTTCATCGTCTCGCTAGCACATCTTCCATAAAGGAGATCGCTTTTCATCTTTTTTTCCTGACCCCTTAATGGTTCAAATAGAAATTTGTTGACAGACGAAGATCAAACCAATCCATGAAATGAAATGTTAAATTATGTTTATGCATCCAACGATCTCTGCATATCCTATTGCTTCACAGACAGTTTCACCTTTTACTTTTAATCATCTGTAAATCAGTCCCAATGCAGCCTCCACTTAAGATGATTAGGGTTTGTTTAAAGAATTTTGTGACAACAGTCTGAAAATACAGTGTGAACTGTATATAAAAATCCTTGCCTCCACCATTGCCCTGGCGGGGACAAGCGTGTGACTGCCCCACCCTGCCTCCTGGACCCTCTGTTTCATTGTCTGTGGGGGGCTCCACTGTGGCACTGGCCTTGAGGGGTTGAAGAAGCTGCTTTCCCGTTAAGTCAGGGCAGGCAGTACCAAGTCGGCGTTGATAGCCTGAGCCCGGCCAGTGCCACCCAGGAATTACAAAAGGCCTTCCGAAGCCCCGGGGACACCGAGGACAAGACACAGCGCAGCGTGCACCAGATGATCTCGTTTACAAAGGTGCCGTCGCGTTCTGTGTCCTTGGTAAATGGACTCTATCCACTTGCACAGGCAGGGTGTGCAGGCATCACAGCCTGAGACCACACCCAGACAGCGCCTGCTGCCAGAGAAGTCCCCAGAGGTCGACGCCAAGAGAAGGACAAAGATGCCTTTCAGAAAAGTTTTCCCTTTTCCTTCCGAGGACAGTCCTAGAAATGTTACCATATGGAGAAAGAAACTAAAAGTTACAGAAAGATGTTCTCGTTCATTGTGGTTTTACTTTGTGAGTTCGAATCTCTACCTAGATCCCAGCTTCTTAAGCTGAGTAAATGACCATCAACTTCCGAAGACTAAATAAGTGTCTGCGGGGGAGAGTACATGGATCTGCTGCTTCACAGCTGCCCTTTGAGATGGGTGGGATTTTAACTCCTGGAATTATAATGTCGTAGTTGGTGGAGATCCATTGGTGGAGATACTCGCAAATAAGTATATTGAAATGAACAATAGTATATCATGAGAATCTTAGAATAACTTATAGAACTTAATTTTCAACTATCAGGATCACAATTTTTGGAAAGGTAACCAAGCGTAATTTTTAAATTGACCTTTGTACTGTGTATATCTTTTCTGTTTTACCACCTTTAACTCAAAATATACCTACAGGAATTGTTTTCAATTTACCTTCTTATTTTTGTCTTGTTCTGCTATTAGAATCAACTGTTGCCTCTCATACCAGGAAGCCACATCTCCCCCACACCTGATGGAAGAAAACAAGTTCTCCAGTTAAAATTTGATCATCTTCCAAACATTTAGGAAAATGTCCTTTCAAGTGTGAAGTAACTTAATATGTACATATTTTTGTACAAGCAAGATAGGAATTCTCAGTGTTTCAAATGCAAATGAGCCATATGAAAATTGAGATGCCTCCTAGAATTGTTTTGTTCTGATCATTGCTGATTCCTTCCCCTGTGCTTTTTACATGCCAACTTTATCTTTTAGAACATTTTCTTTAAATGTTATAAAGCCTGAAACTGCACATATGGAGGAGACGTTTTCAATTTCATCAGAGCAGACCCTCCTCAAACAATTTATGTTGAGAACGTATGGGCTTATAATTTGATTTATGAAAAAGATTTATATGTATCATCTTGCTTGCTTTAGCTGACCCCATAATATCTTTTTTGGGGGGGAGGTACCCGGGATTGAACTCGGGTCCTTGCACTTGCAAGGCAGGCCACCGAACCGCTGAGCTAAATCCCCAGCCCTGACCCCATAATATCTTTTTTGGGGGGGAGGTACCCGGGATTGAACTCGGGTCCTTGCACTTGCAAGGCAGGCCACCGAACCGCTGAGCTAAATCCCCAGCCCTGACCCCATAATATCTTAAAGCCACATCAAATCTCCTGCCTAGCGTTGTTTGTGTCAGGAATTACAGTACGTTCTTGTATTTAATTCACTCTCATTGTAACCAGGTCTATTGAGTGATGTCGGTGGTGGATTCTGTGTTTTTATATTGGTGTAGGAAGAGAAACTTGAAAGGTCAGTTCTTGGACACACTCAGCTTTCAGTACTCATGAGACATTGACGATTCTGTTTTGAAGGCTAGCTAGAGAAAATGCCACGCAAATTCCACACATAGCAAACAGAGGGCAAATGACTCAGGTCCCCACCCTCATGACAGTAATGCCCTCAGCTAGTTGGCTTTGGTACATCGTGATACCTTTCTTTCTCTCCTGGCTGAGTCACCTCAGTACCTAAACCGGTCCTCATGGGTGTATTGTCTGTCATTGCCAATACTTTTTCCAAGCATTCGCAGCCGTAGCCTCTCTGAACGCACATAGCCTTAAGCTGTCAAGAACATCAGAGTCGATTTGAGTCTGTAAATGCTTCCAAGACAGATTGAGATTATCGTTCACTGAATTTCATTTCGTGTGTCTGACCAAAAATCGAAGCAAACACCTCAATAGGTGAACGGGAATTCTGCTGAAATATTTTCCCAAGGAAGCCCGACACACACATATTATACATAATTATAAAATCTGAAGTAGCACAATAGATGCTTTTTACCCTGGACAGCTAAGAATGAAGCAGCATAACTGAATTGCTCTCAGTCTGCTAACAAGGGATTCATATAGAATAAAAATGCAGGGCTGTGTGTCACTGTCCGGAAAGCGGCAGAAAAGGTGATTGCCCGTCAATGAAAACTAACAGTGTTTTGCTAACTCTTTCCTTTTCTTTTTGTTTGTTTGTTTGGTACCGGGGATCAAACGCAGGACCTTGCACTTGCGAGGCAGGCAGCAGAACCACTGAGCTAAATCCCCAGCCTGTTAGCTCTTTTCTGCTCCCAGCCTGGCATGCTTACTTGAATCCTGTCAAATTGTGCTAATAAACGTCATTGCAGAACTCCTTTGTTCCTGGTGCTCAGCGTTAAGTGTATAGTGTTATAAAGGAAACAGTGACATTATGCCTGTTGCGCTTATAAACATGACTTTGTAAGTCGGATGGCGCACACCTGTGAACCCAGCACCCGGGAGGCTGAGGCAGGAGGATTGCCATGACTTTGAGACCAGCCTAAGCTATACAGTGAGTTCAAGGCCAGCCCCTGTCTCAAAAATCAAACAAACAAATAAATAAGACTATGTATACTTCCAGAGAGTCTCAGTTATTTGGGAGCATCCATTTATTATGGAATCCCGGCATCTAAACAATAATTTCTTGTGCACCAGAAGGACTTTAGCATTCTTAGCATGAATATAAGCTGTTAGGATCTTACTTCCATACAATTAATTATCAAGAATGTACCTCTTAGGGCGGGGTTTTAGCTCAGTAGTTCTGCTGCCTACCTCTAAAGCACAAGGTCCTGAGTTTGATCCCCAGTTAAAAAAAAAAAAAAAAAGAATGCGTCTCTTCAGGGCTGGGGATTTAGCTCAGTGGTGCTGTCGCCTGCCTGGTAAGAGCAAGGTCCTGAGTACAAGCCCTGGTACCAAAAAAAAAAATGTACCTCTTCAAATTTGCACATTTTCTTGCATTTTTAATAGGATGATACCACTGGTGCAAGGGAAATGAGGAACAAAAGATAAAAGGCAACTTCACTAATGGATTTCTTTTTAGTTTTCATGGTGCTTTTGGTTTTCAAGTAAGCATTGTCATTACCAAGCTCCTCATGCTGCTGCACCTCTCCCTCGTGTATAATGCATATATGCACACGTGCCAATGTGTAATATAATGCAATACTTAAAAAGAAAATAAGGCAGTGCATGCCTCCTTTACCCATTTTGCTTGCATCATCCTTCTATTAACAGTAGAGTTTTTGGCAGGGGTTGATGACTGTCTTCTCTTATTTTTGCTTTCATTTAAGAATTTATCCAAGCTGGTGTAGTGATGCATGCCTATAATTCCAGCACTCTGGGAGGCTGAGGCAGGAGGATTACAGGCTCTAGACCAGCAGGGCAACTTAAGGAGACCCTGTCTCCAAGAAAGGATAGGGATATAGCTCACTGAGAAGGCCCTGGGTTCAGTCTCCAGCACTCCTTCCCACCCCCCTCAAAAAAAGAATGGAAAAGTCTCCTCCCATGCCTGAGTCATGTGATCAATTCCGTGTATTCTTTTTCCTATAAAAATAATTGTTTCGCGCTCTCATTGTGCTTCCTCCTCCCCGCCCCCCGCCAAATCTGTCCGTGGGTGTGACTGGGAGAGGAGAAGAGAAAGCATCTAGCCTTAGAAAAGTGTCCTAATTAGTCACAGTGTCATATTACTGCCAAAGGAAATTAATCCCATGGCCTTTGCTGGCATATGTGTTCCTGGGTGAGCCAGGCCAGGTAGTGAGGCTGCTACCTGCGGGGCTGAGGGGCACAGCCCCAAGCCATGGCTGTCGTGGGGCTGCTCTGTCTGGTTTCGTGGCACCGGATTCAGGCACTCTGCTCTGCGCTAAGTGCAGATTTCTCACCTCCATACGGAACAGATTTCCTTTTCTGCCCCGGTCGCGCGTCAGGGTCCCATACCCACCTTCAGTCACAGGCTCGCCCCAGGTGCTCCCCAGAAGCCCAGTGGGTTCCGTGACTCCGTGCCGAGTGCAGCTACTGGCTCGCCTGGGTCTTGTCTCACCCCTCCCAGCTTCCAAGCCTTTTGACTTAATGGCTGTCCACATACTGCACCGTCGCGGTGAGCGATGCCCCCGAATGCTCCTCTGTGCTCTACTCTGCACAACCTCTTCCCGCCCTTGGTTTCCCCAGACTTTCTGTAATGCATGAGCTCGAGAGCCTGAAAACTGGGCTGGGCTGCTGTCTCTGCTGGGGTGTGTGTGTGTGTGTGTGTGTGTGTGTGTGTGTGTGTGTGTTTTCCAGACCATTAAAAAAGCAGACATCACATGTTCAGAGTACAGTGGAGAAGGACATCATATTTAGACTTCTCTTACACCTGGAAACCTGGGCGTTTGGGCTGTCTTTAATCTCTGTTCAATTCTGGAAACACTTCATGCAATTGTTCCAACTTGCCCCAACCTCCAAGCCCTTTTAGCAGGTCACTTTGGGAAGATTAATTTAAGTACGCTGAATCCTTTTAAAAACTTGCGATCAAGGGGCTTTGAAATCCTTGCATTTAGGGAGATAACTGAGGAAAGATGAAAGTAAAGCTTTCAGTTAGGCAATCCAGGGTTGGAGCAGAAAGATCTTCCTCCTTGAGTTCGGTCTGTCATCATTCTTCATTGCTATCAGGATTTCCCAATTACAAGACGTGAAATCTCTGAGTTATTTTGAAATTTTGTCGATATATTAACATGTTTTACGCCTCTTTGGCTTCCTTGCCATAGAATTGTAGTTTTTCAAAAACTTGGCGCTTGCTTGGTCGTTTGTTGTCCTCCCCCCACCCGCCCCAGTGATTTCCAGTCCTGATTTTGGAACAATTCGAATGGCACAGGATCTACCCTACTCCAAATTATTTTTTCATAAAAAATTTTTTAATTAGAGTGCATCGCCAGAAGAAGGATCCTAAAATTCCACAGACAGTAATATCAGTAGTATCTTGAAAAACCTGAGGAGTCCTTGTAAGGTTTTACAGTAGTGTGATTGTAAAGATGCATTTTTTTTTTGTACCAGGAACTGAACTCAGGACCTTGTACTTGTGAGGCAGGCGCTGTGCCACCAAGCTGACTCCCCTCCCCTTAGCTGCAGATTTTTTAATACATGTAGTTAGGATATAAAGACGAAATGCCACTCCCGGGGCGGAGGGTGTACATCAGTCATAAAGCACTGACCTGTTTTGCCCAAGGCCTGGGGTTCTGTCCCCAACACGACAGGCACGGGCATCAAGGTTTCTGCTAGAGTTTGTTTTTTACTAAAATCATTAACAACTTCATTCTTTCTTTAATAGAAGACTAAAGGTATTTAAAATGAGGAGAGACTAACAGATCATTGAGAACTAGGGCACCAGGAATAAGGCTCATTTGCAACTCTGTGCACCCTTGACACATCACGTCCCTGTTCTGTACCGTTGTTGGTGGCTCAGCTAGAGGAGCCCAGACTCCCAGCCGCTCTGCGCCTTGGACTTTCTGTGGCACACAGTTTGCAGCCTGTGTGTGTCTCCCACTAGAAGAGGCTTTCTGGAGGAATTTGTAAATAATGCCAAGATACAGTTTTGCTCCCATCTCAGTCTCCACATACCCTTGCTTTGTCAAAGCAGTGATAGTTTACAGACAACCGTTAAACCGAGGGTAAATTTATAAAGTGGTTGCAAACAAAAGTGACTTTTTTTTCGGTATTGGAGATGAAACCCAGGTCCTCACGTGTGCTAGGCAAGTCCTCTGACCATTGAGCTATGTCTTTAGTTCTTTCTTACTTTACTTTGATACAGGTTCTGGTTTTGTTGCTTGGGATGGCCTTGAACTTGCAATACTCATGCCTTAGCCTCCTGAGTAGACAGGATTACAGTGAAAGTAAATTTTGAAACTAATTTTCACTAGAATGTTTTGTTTTGTTTTATGTTTTATTCTGTTTTCCGATACCAGGGATTGAACTCCGGTTCTTTCGCTTGCCAGGCAGGTGTGGTGGCACTGAGCTACCTACTTGGCCCCTGTTTTGTTTTGTTTTGTTTTGTTTTTTGCCATACTGCGTACTGCG